TAAACTCGTCAGGTTTATTGATTCTTGTTTGTCAGCCATCTTCATCACTTACTCAGACTAACATTACCCCTACTTGTGTAGCTAAACCAGATTTAGTTGTGTAATGATGCTGATCATACATAGGTATCCATATTTACCAGAGCTACAACAATGGTATTAACACTCCTACATCAGTGTAAACCAGATTAGTGACAGAAGGTGAAGTTTATATTGGGATTGGTGTTATGACTGGAAATGTCAACATCATAGACACATACACAATACCACTATGACATTGATATCCATGGTATCTTACATATAGTTGGAACAATTCTAGTGAATATAAGAAATGTATCTAACTGACGTTACGATTTTCCAGATTTCAGTGGAAGTTCAATTAAAAACAAAAGTTATCTCCTTCCTGCTGTTTGATACATACTTATTTCTGATAGTGATACACATTTGTTTGTGACAGATAAGAACACTGATTTCTGACAGTCAAACACACTGATTTCTGACAGTAATACACACTGATTTCTGACAGTCATACACACTGATTTCTGACAGTCATACACACTGATTTCTGACAGTCATACACACTGATTTCTGACAGTCAAACACACTGATTTCTGACAGTCAAACACACTGATTTCTGACAGTTATACACACTGATTTCTGACAGTCATACACACTGATTTCTGACAGTTATACACACTGATTTCTGACAATCAAACACACTGATTTCTGACAGTTATACACACTGATTTCTGGCAGTCATACACACTGATTTCTAACAGTGATACACACTGATTTCTGACAGTTATACACACTGATTTCTGACAGTACTACACACTGATTTCTAACAGTGATACACACTGATTTCTGACAGTTATACACACTGATTTGTTACAATTGTACACTCTGAATTTTTCACTGCTATAGTTTATCACGGAAATTTACTTTTATTGATGTAATTATCAGTTGCTATAATACTTGTCAATGTAGAGAGGTGTAACAGTATATAGTAATGCCATTGATATCATTTCGTTATAATTGGTCATGACTTTGTGAAAACTTTACATGACTTTAAGACATATTTTTTATCATTGAAAAAAAATGAGGTAAATGTATAAGTTCATATTGACCGACTTTAAGTTCCATTCTGTGAAGTAGATAGATCATTGTGAAGACTTTCTGTCCTATTTCTATGCTACTGCTAATCACGTACACAATACAATAGTTATAAATTCATGCTGCATCAGCATTACTAATGCTGAGACCAATCACAAACATCATTACTGATACATGATCGGACAACATATGGTGTTGTTGATGAGTCCTTTGTCTGCTATCAGTTATGACTGGTAAACAACTCTGAGGAAACTAGCAACGAAATGTTAATTTGTATGAATGTCACAGACATTTGTTACGAGCTAAAGGCTAATTACAAAATGAATTGATAACCTGCATGGTGCTTGGGAAATTATTATGTATCATTGAGGAAAGGGGCTAAGTTTAATGTAAAACGGATTCATTGCCAGGTCTTGTACATGACCATTGCTCTTGTTTGACATGTAGAGGAAATAGGTTTAGGTGGAGCCAGGCCGACATTTCCTTATCTAATAGTGCTGGCCATATGGATATATTTGTCACAGACAATTCGACAATTACAGCACAATTTATTGCCAGAGGACATGCAAACATGTCTGCCTCACCCATGTTCTTGCATGTTCTGCTACCTATAATACACTCTTCACAGTGAGAGTAAAAGTCATCCTGAAACGTGTGAACACAGAAAGGCACTATATGTAAAATGACCAGAAGTGTGTAGTGATTGTCTGGGTCTACAGAAAGGCACTATATGTGAAATGACCAGAAGTGTGTAGTGATTGTCTGGGTCTACAGAAAGGCACTATATGTAAAATGACCAGAAGTGTGTAGTGATTGTCTGGGTCTACAGAAAGGCACTATATGTAAAATGACCAGAAGTGTGTAGTGATTGTCTGGGTCTACAGAAAGGCACTATATGTAAAATGACCAGAAGTGTGTAGTGATTGTCTGGCTCCGTAATATTCCACATAACTTCTCTTCCATGTAGACAGCTAGTTAAAGTAATTTGTTCTCAGCGTTATTACCCAGGAGCATTCCTGCACACCTCACATGATGGTACTTGAATTGTCATTAATTTGCTTTGTCTCAGATTTATTTTCTGTTGAAATCTTTAGTCACAAAATTGGATTTCGGTATTGATTAGTTGTCTGTTGACTTGACAACTCAACACCACACTATTAGACCTTAAGTACATGTTTAATATTCAAACAAAAATGTGCATGATTTATTTTGTATCCAATATCCAAAACTGTAACATCCTGCCTTTGATATCTTTTATTTTGGCTTATTATCATTGTTCAAATTATGTCTTGTGGACATTCTCCTTTTGGTCCTCAGAGAAGAAAACAGCTATGAGACACATTTTTATTTTGTCAAATCAGCTGACCATATTGTCCCCTAGATTCTGCCTCACCCTGCTCTCAATAACATACATTTACAGCAATGGTGTTTTATATAGTAATTATCAAAAACATAGATATCATTGTATAAAAGATTATCTATAGAAAAGGTGTTTTATACTTTCATCCAAAATCTAAAGACATTCATCAGACACCTACAGATCACTTAAAACTTTGATATTTAATTCTGTGTTGTAAGCTGAATTTGACTCTTAATGTTTTGGAGCGGAAATGCTGTGTACAGAGACTAGTGATTCGGACTACATACATGTATCACAGGAAATGGCTTTACTCTGGGGTCAGTCACTGAACTAAATTGATTGTAAATGTCAAATTACAAAATAGAATAGTTTCAGTGAAAATCTGTTTTATAAGGTTACATCTAAAGAATGAATTATTGTTTCGTGTTATTTGGAAATAAAGTATTTGAGTTGTTGGTTTTCCTTAGAAGCATATAAATCATTATACTGTAAGTAGAGTTGTCACTATACAAGTCTGGTTGTTCTTTAAGATTACGTAGTTATACATTGTATAACCATAATGTAACTATTGACATGACATTTACAGATGATACGAATGCCAAATCTTTTGATTTTTTTAGACAAGTCATTCTTATTTTTGTAAGATGTAGTTGTTATCTAGTCGGTTAATGGTAGTAGATATTTAGATTGGTGATTATATGTATGGATGATTGTCCTAATTACCTGCTGGTTAATGTTGACACACTTGACTGTATCTTTAACCACACCCTGAACTAGTCTAAAGCTTTAGACAGGTGAGTTGTTGAAATTTCTAATGAACCAGTCTAAAGCTTTAGACAGGTGAGTTGTTGAAATTTCTGATTAACCTGCCTAGAGCTTTAAACAGATGAGTTGTTGAAATTTCTGATGAACCAGTCTAAAGCTTTAGACAGGTCAGTTGTTGAAATTTCTGATCAACCAGCCTAGAGCTTTAGACAGATGAGTGTGATTTCTGATGAACCAGTCTAAAGCTTTAGACAGGTCAGTTGTTGAAATTTCTAATGAACCAGTCTAAAGCTTTAGACAGGTCAGTTGTTGAAATTTCTTATGAACCAGCCTAGAACTTTAGACAGATGAGTGTGATTTCTGATGAACCAGCCTAGAACTTTAGACAGATGAGTGTGATTTCTGATGAACCAGCCTAGAACTTTAGACAGATGAGTGTGATTTCTGATGAACCAGCCTAGAACTTTAGACAGATGAGTGTGATTTCTGATGAACCAGTCTAAAGCTTTAGACAGATGAGTGTGATTTCTGACCTGCCTAGAACTTTAGACAGATGAGTGTGATTTCTGATGAACCAGGCTAAAGCTTTAGACAGGTCAGTTGTTGAAATTTCTAATGAACCAGTCTAAAGCTTTAGACAGGTCAGTTGTTGAAATTTCTGATGAACCAGCCTAGAACTTTAGACAGATGAGTGTGATTTCTGATGAACCAGCCTAGAACTTTAGACAGATGAGTGTGATTTCTGATGAACCAGCCTAGAACTTTAGACAGATGAGTGTGATTTCTGATGAACCAGCCTAGAATTTCTGATGAACTAAAGCTTTAGACAGATGAGTGTGATTTCCCAGCCTAGAACTTTAGACAGATGAGTGTGATTTCTGATGAACCAGCCTAGAACTTTAGACAGATAAGTGTGATTTCTGATGAACCAGTCTAAAGCTTTAGACAGATGAGTGTGATTTCTGATGAACCAGCCTAGAACTTTAGACAGATGAGTGTGATTTCTGATGAACCAGCCTAGAACTTTAGACAGATGAGTGTGATTTCTGATGAACCTGCCTTGAACTTTAGACAGATGAATGTGATTTCTGATGAACCAGCCTAGAACTTTAGACAGATGAGTGTGATTTCTGATGAACCAGCCTAGAACTTTAGACAGATGAGTGTGATTTCTGATGAACCTGCCTAGAACTTTAGACAGATGAGTGTGATTTCTGATGAACCAGCCTAGAACTTTAGACATATGAGTGTGATTTCTGATGAACCAGCCTAGAACTTTAGACAGATGAGTGTGATTTCTGATGAACCAGCCTAGAACTTTAGACAGATGAGTGTGATTTCTGATGAACCAGCCTAGAACTTTAGACAGATGAGTGTGATTTCTGATGAACCAGCCTAGAACTTTAGAAGTGTGATTTCTTTAGAACTTTAGACAGATGAGTGTGATTTCTGATGAACCAGCCTAGAACTTTAGACAGATGAGTGTGATTTCTGATGAACCAGCCTAGAACTTTAGACAGATGAGTGTGATTTCTGATGAACCAGCCTAGAACTTTAGACAGATGAGTGTGATTTCTGATGAACCAGCCTAGAACTTTAGACAGATGAGTGTGATTTCTGATGAACCAGCCTAGAACTTTAGACAGATGAGTGTGATTTCTGATGAACCAGCCTAGAACTTTAGACAGATGAGCGTGATTTCTGATGAACCAGCCTAGAACTTTAGACAGGTCAGTTGTTGTGATCTATTGTTTTGTATTTGCAGATTTTATGGTTTGAGCAGCAGTTTGTAAAGAAGAGAGTGAAGCGAGATTTAACATTTACAGACCCACTGTGGCATAAAGAATGGTACTTGGTATGTGTTATTGATTACATGATCTTTTACTATCATTATCAATCTTATCTATCTGTCCTTGAGCTTGTGTTCTTTGTTAATTTTGAGAATGAAATCACAAAATATAGATATTTTTCTGCAAATGTTTGCTTAAACCACTAAATTAGCATTTTTGTAGACGAAAATGTTAGCAAGTCACATGCAGTCATACCGCAAAAGATGGTTTTAATTCAAATTGTATCCTTTTTTTACTGTTTCATCATCCATTGTGTGAAAGTGGTCTCCTCGTAAATTTACAAAAGCCATTGTAAAACTTACTTTACTTGTTCCTTGCAGCATGGTGGAGGTCGACGGGGGAGGAATGGCCCTGGAGGATTCGACATGGGGGTAGCAGGAGCCTGGAAGATGGGATATACAGGCAGAGGTGTAGTCATCACCATACTGGATGATGGAATTGAGAGAGACCATCCAGACCTTATAGAGAACTATGTAAGTATAAAGACGAATTACCTTCATACCCAGTGAAACCTCCATGTTTCAAAGTTCAAGGAACTAGCAATAAAACTCTGAAACATCGAGACTTACCATCATTCAGGGTAACCCAAGTTGATGACATAGCATTTCTACCTGAACAAATACAATGATTACAAAAACACAAGTTTAAATGAAAAGGGACATTTTTTTTATCCAAGAATTTGACAATGCATGTTTAGTATTTTACAGACTGATTTTAAACAAAAAAGGTTACCACTTGTTTGGTAATTATTTAAAGAGTAATACATAAAGGATTAAGAACTAATGAATTTTTAAAAAAGGAAAACAAATATCATAAAATATTCTGTCCAGATACATAGTAGAACATTAGACAATCTCAGCTAAAGATCTGAAGTGTATGGTTGTATCCAGACCGAGGATGGTTAGTGATTCTCAGGAAGCTAAGATCATTTGTGCTCCTGTACTATCATGCTTGTATCCAGACCGAGGACAGTTTCTCTGGAAGCTAAGATCATTTGTGCTCCTGTACTATCATGCTTGTATCCAGACCGAGGACAGTTTCTCTGGAAGCTAAGATCATTTGTGCTCCTGTACTATCATGCTTGTATCCAGACCGAGGACAGTTTCTCTGGAAGCTAAGATCATTTGTGCTCCTGTACTATCATGCTTGTATCCAGACCGAGGACAGTTTCTCTGGAAGCTAAGATCATTTGTGCTCCTGTACTATCATGCTTGTATCCAGACCGAGGACAGTTTCTCTGGAAGCTAAGATCATTTGTGCTCCTGTACTATCATGCTTGTATCCAGACCGAGGACAGTTTCTCTGGAAGCTAAGATCATTTGTGCTCCTGTACTATCATGCTTGTATCCAGACCGAGGACAGTTTCTCTGGAAGCTAAGATCATTTGTGCTCCTGTACTATCATGCTTGTATCCAGACCGAGGACAGTTTCCCTGGAAGCTAAGATCATTTGTGCTCCTGTACTATCATGCTTGTATCCAGACCGAGGACAGTTTCCCTGGAAGCTAAGATCATTTGTGCTCCTGTACTATCATGCTTGTATCCAGACCGAGGACAGTTTCCCTGGAAGCTAAGATCATTTGTGCTCCTGTACTATCATGCTTGTCTCCTTTGGTAGGATACCCCATTTCCTATTATGTAGTCGGCCTCCAGCTTGATGTCCAGTAAGATAGCCACTAGCTCCTTCATATTGACCCTAGCTGCTCACAGAGCAAAAAACACTGCAAACACATATCCTGTGTATATGTTATTATGTAAGCATTGTTCATATTGCCTCTTACAAACCCTCCTGTAAGGTTTTGGTGCAAGTGTTCAGAGGCATACCAATGTAATATCAAGTATCAATACAACATATACTGAAAAGATCATCACACACATCACACACGTATTTTACAGCCTGAAACATATGTTTGGTATTAAAGTTTTAGTGTTGACAGCCGTCAAGACCTTTATAACGCTACTTCAGTACCAAATTTTAGTGTTGATGTTTCTACGCAGTACCAAATTTTAGTGTTGATGTTTCTACGCAGTACCAAATTTTAGTGTTGATGTTTCTACGCAGTACCAAATTTTAGTGTTGATATTTCAACGCAGTACCAAATTTTAGTGTTGATGTTTCAACGCAGTACCAAATTTTAGTGTTGATATTTCAACGCAGTACCAAATTTTAGTGTTGATGTTTCTACGCAGTACCAAATTTTAGTGTTGATGTTTCAACACAGTACCAAATTTTAGTGTTGATGTTTCTACGCAGTACCAAATTTTAGTGTTGATGTATCAACACAGTACCAAATTTTAGTGTTGATGTTTCTACGCAGTACCAAATTTTAGTGTTGATATTTCAACGCAGTACCAAATTTTAGTATTGATGTTTCAACACAGTACCAAATTTTAGATGTTTCAACGCAGTACCAAATTTTAGTATTGATGTTTCAACACAGTACCAAATTTTAGATGTTTCAACGCAGTACCAAATTTTAGTATTTGTGTATCAACGCAGTACCAAATTTTAGTATTGATGTTTCTACGCAGTACCAAATTTTAGTGTTGATGTTTCAACGCAGTACCAAATTTTAGTATTGATGTTTCTACGCAGTACCAAATTTTAATGTTGATGTTTCTACGCAGTACCAAATTTTAGTGTTGATGTTTCTACACAGTACCAAATTTTAGTATTGATGTTTCAACGCAGTACCAAATTTTAGTGTTGATGTTTCTACGCAGTACCAAATTTTAGTATTGATGTTTCAACACAGTACCAAATTTTAGTATTGATGTTTCAACACAGTACCAAATTTTAGTATTGATGTTTCAATGCGAGGTGAGTTTTTTTGTTTCCGTTGGCAATTCTCTGGTTTGTACACTTTATCGGTAAGTGACCCATAAACTTATCTATATGTGTTAACCATTTATCTCATGGTATTGTTTTATTGATAAAGAAATGAGGTCAAGTTTATGCTTTGATACAAATTTTGTTCTGAATAAAAAACTCAAATGAATTAATGAAGCTATGATAAATACTGTGACAAAAAAACAAATGGTAATTTATTCTTCTGATGTAGAAATTTTGTACACATAATGTGCCAACATATAGATTGTGACATTAATTGGTATGCTTGCATGGGTGCGTCCAGGTAAAATGTGTTACAAACATGCCAACTAGTGTTGAGGTCTAACAGAATCACTGCAGTCTTCACATGTCTGGTTTGTTAGAACAAAACTGATAAATTCTGTTTCCAGAAAGTGCAGTTTTATTTCTTTGGCATAAAATCTAAGTCAGTAAAGAGGTCAAAACATTTTTATTTCTGAGCTTTCTCTCTGGCTGGGTTATTTTCTTCACAGTTTCTCTAGATATTGAATATACGTATTGTATTTGTAATATAATGTTTGACTTCTTGTTTTTGTCTACATCTCACACTGAAACAACAACAATCTGGTTGATAGTATTAGATATTCCTTGGTTTTTTAATATCTTACAATAAAAAAGGTAATTTTAATAGATGTGGGCTTTTTTTTCAAATATCAACACTCCTTATTAAACCAACATGACCTTTTTATACAACAATTTAGATAGGCCTGGTTAGTAATTAATTGGTATGTTACAAGCAGGTTTAGAAGGCAGCATGTCAGATACTTCTGTACAATACAGTAGTACATGTCTAAGAACATAATAAAAGATGAACCTCAGAATATATCTGATGATATCAATTCATCCATTGAGAAGGACCATTCTCGGGGTTTTTATTTATTGTAGCAAATTGAAACTGATTTCTATCAAAGTTGTCTACATGATGAAGTCTTCCTTTTTTGGAAAGCTGTATGCATGTTCTGTATCTGATAAGTCTAGACTTAAATGGCTTTTGGGAAGGTGTCATTGTGCTGGAGTGTTGTTACATTGAGAAGTGTCGTAGAAGTGTCAGGAACATCTGTACAACAATACACTGTTAAATCACCTGGTGAGATGTGGATGTCTGCTCTCCATTTGGACAGCTCTATCAGATTATTGGTCACAAACTGAAAAAAGTTGTTTTCAGATGTTTTGTCAGGGAGAATTCATTATGGTAGGGTTCTTAGAACAGTAGGAATGTGTGGTGATTTATATGTCTTCAAAGTATTCAAGGTGTCATTTGATAACTGTTTCTATCTATAATAGTGTTGTTTCAAATTGATAGCTAAATCCATCAAAGAAAATTATGTTGATATCTCATGTTCATGACCGTCTAACATGCAGTTTATCTTTTACAATAATTAACCAAGCTGTTACCATAGGAACCATGTAAAACAGTTATGCAATCTGTATCTGATGTAAGTTGTCAGATGGAACCTGGTCCAGATATATGTCGAAGTAAAACACATTAACATCAGTTTTCCAACATCTCGACACCTTCGAAAACAAGCTACATCCCAAGGTTGTCATGCAGATGTAAAAGATTGTCAGCTAGCACTAGAAGTTCTAATCTCGAAGCCATTCCATGGAAGGTTTAATGTCAGTTGATGTTGCAGGTCTAGTCTGAAAACTATATGGGTGTAATGACAAGTGACATAACCACAAACCATATCATAGCTGATCACAACAGAACACAGTCCTCAGTACTTCAATAATGCTGCCATTTTATCAACTCACTTGGCCCAAATGAACTTATGGCAAACTGCAGAGTCCTTTGTCAATCCATTAATTTTTCCTACAAATCTTAAAAGGGGAAATAGATGTAAATATTCAAAATACTTTTCCTTTTGTTAAGATAAAACCATTCCAGCAAAGTAAACCAGATGAGAGATACTGGCCCTATAGGCCTCTTGTTTATCTAAAGATTGCAACAATGTAGATGTATTTACATGAGAAGTACTCAAGTTAATGCTTATTTAGGTAATTAGGTCACCTAAGATCGCCTGAGACAAAGTCTCATGGTAACCTATTCTAATCACCTTTATCTGACGTTGTGTGTCCGTAAACAATTTACCATTTTCAACTTCTTCTCAAAAACCCCTGAACTGATTTCAATGAAATTTTGCTTAAATTTTCCCTGGCCTAAGATGAACCAAAATTGTGAATTATACTGTCCCCACTCCCCAGGAGCCTGAGGGGCAGACCAAAAGGGGTCAGATTGACTTAGATTTCAAAGATCTTCTTCTGAAACCTAGATATGGTAGAATCAAATAATCTTCATGAATGGAAACATCCTAAGGTGCTTTACCAAAATTGTGAATTTCATGGCCCCAGGGTCTCACATTTCCCCGTTGGGAAGGGAAATATTTCAAACTTGGTTAGAATTATGAATGACAGCTTGATGGTATGCCCATTTTGATCCTGACTGACCCCCACGGGCTGATGGGCGAGGTTTAAAGGGGTCAAATTGCATTTTTGAGCTTAACATTGGGTATTTCCCGGTGGACATAACTTTAAAAGAATTATCAGTATAGGATGGTATGCATGTATTGACACTGGCTTACTATATTCAGTGTCACCATTGATA